CCGGTGCGACTCGGGGATTTTTGAAAGGGGGTGAAAGTGGCGTTTTTTTGAAAGCGAGGATTTGCAAAGCGGGGTTTTGGCGGGAAGGGGGGGGGGGGATGGCGGTCGGGGTGCGCGGTGGTGGGGAGACTGCCGGCGGGGAGGTGGTGTTGGGTGAGATCGGGGGAGGTGCAGGAGGTGGCAGGGAGAGGTGAATTGGACGTGGTGGTTTCTGGGCGGAAGGGAATCAAAGCAGCGATGCATTGTTTTGGTTTCCGATGGGCACATCGCGAAGCTCGCGTTGTAAGTGTACAGCGGCGGAGATGGTGAATGTGCAGCGATGCGTTGATGCACGGTGGGCATTGTACGCGTGTAGTGGATGGTAGGATGCAGCGCGGTTGAAGAGATCATGCCTCCGTCTACATATTTTGTGTTTATGGGGGTACTGTTGTGTAATTGTGGCAATTGCTGTTATTGTCAAGGATACAGTTCTACACCTCCACTCTTCCTTTATGGCTCTACGAACGGATCGCGTAATGCGTTAGCACTCTACTGTAGTGACACCCAAGTTAGATTCGATTCGGTATAATCGGACCCGTAGTCAATGGCCCTATCCAACAAGCTACAGTATTGATTTCCTCAATTCAGCAGAATTGAGGCCGACCACCTCACATGATCTGGAACGCACCGACAGCACATCTGCAGATGCAGACTAGTATAAATTGGGTCGCGTGCGGCAACTCTAAGAAAATAAAATACACAGAACTTCAACAGAAAGGGAAGCTCAGGGTAACGAGTCAAAAGGTTAGCCAATTCGTTTCATCTTCACAATCGCTCCATTATTGGTAGCATCGCACAGAAACAATGGACGAAGAAGGGAAGAAGTTTTCTATCGCGAAGTTCAATGCGAAGAGGGACGAGGACTTTGAGCTGTGGATTACACGCATTGAAGCGTACCTCGTGGCGAAAGGAATGTTTGAAGTTGTCAGCAACGACAAGTCTCACGCCTTAGATGAAGATGGCAAAATTGCAAGGAGCATGGCTTCAGCTCGGAGCATCATCATTCAGGCCCTAGGGGACAAACCTCTTCGTACAATCATGTCGGAGAGAACGAATCCTCACGTAATGTGGAGGAAGTTAAGAGAGCGGTACGCAACGTCCAGCGCCGCTACACGTGTGCAGCTGCAAACCAGGCTTCATCAGATGAACTACTCTACCTCTATGTCGATGTCAGAGTATGTGGATAGAATGGAAGCTGTCTTCAATCGAATGGAAGGAATGGGCTGCACAATCGATGAATCAATGAACGTAGCGATTCTGTTGGCTAGCTTCGGAGATAAATCGGTATCTTCGTACGGTCCTGTAATCTCTGCTTTGAAACTTTTTCTCTTTTATCTGATGATAATTTGACGTGGGAGACCACGACAAGCAGACTACTGCAGGAGTATGAGTCCAAAAATATCTCCAGCGATGCTTCTGCAGGTCAGAACATTGGCCCAAAGAAATTTGTGCGAGCTTTGAAGGCGAAGACGAATCTAATCTGCTACAGCTGTGGGAGGAAGGGGCACTTTGCCCGTGATTGCTTCGCTAAAAAGAAGAGTCAGAATAGAGCTTTTGATTCGGGCGCAAAGGCACATGAAGCTGTAAGGCAGCATTTTGCATTAGTGACAAAGTCATGTCACAAAATCAAAACCATCATTGATTCCGGAGCAAGCTCGCATATGGTGGCAGATATGCGCCTTTTGAAAGGTCCTATGGACATTGTAGATCATCACATTGTTCTGGGAGACGGAAGAGTGGTGAAGTCCACAACATCAGGTCGAGCTGTAATTGATTGTACGGGTCAAAATGGACAGCCAGTTTCATTTGAGCTCTCGAACGTACTGTACGTTCCAACGCTTGATACCAACCTTCTCTCTTGTTCGAAATTGGATGAGAATGGTCACGAAATCAGGTTTAAGAGCGGCGAATGCACGTTACGCCCTGCTCAAGAAGACTGGATCTTTAAGATTGGAGCTCGTAGGTCAGGCGTTTATCAGCTGACCGGTACCTTTCAGACTCAGGAGGAGTGTAGGACGGCTAACAGCACTGAACAGATCAATGAAAGGGTGTGGCACAACAGACTTGGGCATATTGCTGAGTCAACCATTCGAGATGCTGTTAGAAAGGGAACGGCACGGGGCATTGAGCTACAGGGAAATGGGAACCCAAAGAACAAAAGTAGTCACTGTTTCCTTGGAAAGCAGACACGACTTTCCTTAAAAGAACGTTCCTCCAAGGCGACACAACCTGTGGAAATCATACATTCCGATGTGTGTGGTCCAATGCCAGTACCGACAATTGCCGGTAAGAGGTACTTTGTATCATTCATTGATGCCTTTTCAGGATTCAAGTCCATTTACTTGCTTTCGAAAAATTCACAGGTGCTGGACCGATTCAAGGAATTTGTTGCTCATTTTGAGAGAAGAAATGAGTGCAGAATCAAGGGCTTGTATTCCGACAATGGGGGAAAGTACGAGGGTATGCATGATCATCTAAGTGAACAAGAAATAGAAGTTGTTCGATCTGCACCCTACACGCCAGAGCAGAATGGTGTAGCAGAAAGAGCAAATCGCACTTTGATGAATATGGTGAGATCGATGCTTAGCCACTCCGGGCTCCCACTAGCTTCTGGGGCGAAGCACTGGCCTATGCAACTTATATTTGCAACAGTATTGGGAGTCGCAGGAACGCAATGAAGTCCCCTAATGAATTGCTGTCAAGCCAGGTACCCTACATTGGCCACATGCGGACCTTCGGCTGTCAGGTTATGGTACATGTCCCGCAGCAGTTGCGCAATGAGCTTCAGAATCGCAGTCGTGAGGGAATACTACTGCGAAGTCTACCACACTCACTTCTACGAGTTTGGTACAGTGACAGTAAGTCAGTCCAGCACGTCAGACACGCTGTTGTTAGTGAAAGCAACTTCCCCGCTCGCCAATGAAGGAATGTCAGTAGGCCATCCATCCAAGACTTGGAATGGATTGATGAGCTGTTTCCCATCAAGGAGTCGGATCGATCTGAGATGTATGAAGAGGTAGGCAATGAGCTCGAAGGATCCACTGATGTGCCCAATGATCCACAGAATGGCACCACGGACGGCGATGAGCTCCCACCAGCAGCTCCCATTGCAGAATTGACATATACTCCGGCGACTGCCAGTAATGCTCCTTCAGTATTGGATACAGGAGAGTAATAAAGATACCCAGTCAGAGACCGCAGGAGCCCAGATCGTCTTGCGTATACAGCCAGCGAGGTCACTGCGGAAATCGAGTTGACGAATGATCAGCCATCACTCGAGGAGGCTCTCGCAGGAAGTGAAGCCGATATGTGGAGGGCTGCTATTGATTCGGAGCTTACAGCCCTGGAGGTCAATAAAACGTGGTCAACGGTTCGCAGAGACCAGGCCACATCTCGACCTCTGGACACCAAAATGGTTTTGAAAATCAAAAGGCACGCAAATGGCGAGGTGGACAAGTACAAAGCTAGGCTAGTGGTCAAAGGATTCCAG